AAAGAGGACGTCAAAACGGCTGCGGAATTACTGCAAATGGTTTCTGCTAGCATGCCATTTCCCAAATAATTTCTGCTAGCCTGCCCTTTCCTAAATGGTCGCTGCTAGCCTGCCATGAGGGCAAAAGGAGGGGGGCAACTAGCAGGGATTCTTGAAAATTTTCGAAAAGTCGCAAATGGTCTCTGCTAGATTGCCAGGGGGGAGAGCTAGGGGTGATCTTTTGGGAATGTGCAAAAATTCCTAAAAGATCGCCGCTAGCTTGCCTTGACGGCAGAAAGCTGAGGCAAATTACAAGAGTTTTTTGAGAATTTTCTAAATCCGGTCGCAAATGGTCTCTGCTGCAATGCAGCTAGCGGAGATTCTTGGAAATATGGAAAAATCTTAAATGATCACTGCTAGTCTGTCTTCAGGGCAAAAAGCGCGGTGGCAGGCATTGATTTTTTAAAATTTTCGAAACCCGGTCGCAAATGATCCCTGCTAGATGGCGAGCACCACAGCTAGCAGAGACCCTTTGGGGGAACCAGAGGACCAGAAATGAGAAGAAATCGTCTGGAGGAGCAGAAAGGCAACAAAGCACGGACTATGCGGGAAAAATATAATTTTATGATTTCCAGGGACATGCGAAATTGTCTCTGCTGGCTTGCCTGCAGGGCTATGCTGCAAAGGTTCGTGAGGAAAGCCGATCTATTCCGCAAAGTCCTGTTAGCCGGCCTGGATGTAATATAGGGCATCTAGCAGAGACTATTCCGGAAAAGTGCGGTCCAAATGGTCTCTGCTAGCCTGCCTCGATTAAGAAACACATCAACAAGAAGATCCGGTTAGTCGGAACCCCTATTTATTGGTTTGCCCTTTGATGGCCTCTCTTCTCTTCTCTCATTCCCATTATCAGCTGTGTTTTGCAGAGGAAGGGCTTTTCCCTCGAAAACCCCACATGTGGACATTGGATCTCGAAACTTGCAGCGGGAATTGATGAGAGAAAGAGACTTCCAGAATCTCTGCTAGCCTGCCTGGTTTTGTCGCATCTCCTCAAGGTTCTCTGCCAGTTTGCCCTTTTTCAGGGGCTGGGCAGGCTAGCAGAGACCATTTAGGACGGGCAGATTGGCAGGCAATTCAAGAAGCCGAATTCCACCAAAATCTCTGCTAGCTAGCATTTTCTGAACTGGGGGCAGGCGGGCAGAGACCCTTTGCGGAAGTGCCAAAATTTCCGGATGGTGGCAGGCTAGCAGAGATCCTTGTGGAACGAGGAATTTCATTTTGAAGGCAGGCCAGCAGTGATTCTTGAGGAAAATTACCGATTCTAAAATGTACGAAACTTCCGCAACTTTGCAATAGACAACGCCCCCATAAATGTTGCCTTTCCGGGTGTTCGTTTTCAATTTCTCCGCGCAAAAAGCCGCAATAGGGGGTCCGTTTTGTTTATGGCTTTTGTCTCCCTGGAAAGTGAGAGCAAGAGAGAGAGCCAGAGAGAGAGAGAGAGAATGAGAGAGAGAGAGTGAGAGAGAGTGAGAGAGAGAGAGAGTGAGAGAGAGTGAGAGAGAGGGAGAGAGAGAGAGTGAGAGAGAGAGTGAGAGAGAGAGTGAGAGAGAGAGAGAGAGAGAAAGAGAGTGAGAGAGAGAGTGAGAGAGAGTGAGAGAGAGAGTGAGAGAGAGAGAGAAAGAGAGAGAGAGAGAGAGAGAGAGAGAGAGAGAGAGAGAGAGAGAGAGAGAGAGAGAGAGAGAGAGGAGAGAGTGAGAGAGAGTGAGAGTGAGAGAGAGAGTGAGAGAGAGAGAGAGAGTGAGAGAGAGTAGAGAGAGAGAGTGAGAGAGAGGAGGAGAGAGAGAGAGAGAGAGAGAGAGAGAGAGAGAGAGAGAGAGAGAGAGAGAGAGAGAGAGAGAGATAGGGGAAATGGAACCGGCCGGTCAACTTTCAACCGCACAAAAAACTCCCCAACCACCACTGGGGTGTTGCCATCCAGATGGAGTTGATCAAGGGGGGGGGCAGCCCTGCCTCTGGAAAAGCGGAAAAATAGAGTAGGAAATGGAGCAGTTTTTGCAAGAGGATGAGGGCCAGATGGGGCACATTTTTGGAACCGTAAATAGCGACCCGCAGAAAACAGGATTGTCAAAACGAGGTGGAGCAGTACAACAAGATGGTCAAGTTGGTACCCAAACGTGCCGCAGACGGTGAAAAACGTCAAAAAAATTCTAAAGCACAGATGCGAACAAAAAAATTTAAGAATGATAATAAACAACCCCTTTAAACAAGAAAAATCCATAAAATTAGAAAAAAGTGAAATTTCCTTGCAAAAATGACCTGATTTCCGGCATCTGGGAGTTGCGGGAGCAGGGCAGGCTAGCAGAGATCCTTGGGGAATTCGGACGGTCTCTCCAGGTCGGCCCCGTCCTTACCAGCCCTGAAAAACCAGCTAAAACCCAGTTAGATGGATGGATTTACCTCGCAATTTCCGGGATTCCAATGAGCCTGGGTAGATGCAGGCTTGCAGAGACCATTGGGGAAGCCTGAAACTACAAAAATCGACAGATTTGAGAGATAGATATAGAGATCACGAAAGAAAACAGAGATAATCTGGAAAACCCGTGTTAAAGGATCTCTGCCAGCTGGCGATTCCTCAATAAACACCGCTAGCTAGCCCTTCCAAAATGATCTCTGCTCGCTGCCCCATCTCCAATTCCTTAAAAAACTCGGTTAGCCCGTTGGGTTCATTTCAAAATACCCAAGAATCTCTGCTAGCTGGCGCTTCCTCAAAATCCCCGCTAGCCTGCCTCCTCATTTCCCAAATAACCTCTGCTAGCTGGCCCCTAAACCAAAAATTCTCTTTTTTTGTATTTTTAAGATTTTTTGCAATTTTAATTTAAGTAAAACGATAATAAATAATATTTATTTGGTGGAGATATCATTGATGATGTGGAAGCTACAAAAATACACAAAAAAATCACACAAAATGGCGCAAAAAATTCGGTGAAAAATCAGGGTGGGACTACGGTATATGGTGGGTCATTTTTGTCGTCAAAAATTACAGCAAAAAATATCACAATTAATGGATGTCAAAATCGCAAAAAATCCGGTTAAATAACTAAAAAAATCGTGATTTAGGGGTACGGTAGCCCGGCTACAGGAGTCAAGCGGAAAGTGGGGTGGAGGGGAGTTACGGTACTTTTTTACAGTATTATTTTCTGGGCTTTTCCAAGGGTGGGGGCACATTTTAGGGGAATTACAGTAATTTTCAGGTTACGGTAGTTTTCGCAAAAATTATCGTAATTTGAAACATATTTTTCTACTTTTCAAAAAAATTAGAAATTTCCATTTTTCATTACATTAAAACGTATTTTTTAATTTTCCTGTTTCAAAAAGGCCATAATTTTTGCTAAAATTACGGTAGAATTTACGGGTTACGGTAGTTTCGAAATTATCATAATTTAAAAAATTTCTAATTCCTAAAAAAATAAAAATTTCGTTTTTCATCAAAGTAAATCGTATTTTTTAATTTTCATATTTCTTAAAAAATTATCGTAATTTTCCCAAAAATATGCCCCAATTTAAATAAATTCGCATAATTAAAAATTATTGAGCAAAAATGAGAATTGAAAAAAAATCTGGTCTGGTTTTTCGGTTGAGGATTACGGTAGGTAGCAATTACAGCATGCCACAAAACGACAAAAATCACTGAAAAACAAAAAAAGAGCACAATTACAGTACGCCGATCGGGTGGAAATCGTGGAAAATCGATGAAAGGGTACGGTACATTCAAAACGAAGCCTTTATTCCGGGCGCTGTTTAAAAAGAAGAGAAACGAACAAAACGGACCAAATCGACGATAAATCTAAAGTCAAAACAAATGATATATAAAGATATAGTAATTCTTTTTATAACAAATGAGATTTGGGGGTGAGAGAACGAGAGGGACCGAGAGGGAACAGAGAAAAACAGACACGCAAAACGGGACCCCGGAAACGATTACGGCATGGAGATCAGCACAATCGATTACGCTAGCCAAACGAGAAAAATCGATTAGGCCTTGAAATCGAATTTTTTATCTAATTTCGGAATCGATTACGCCACGTAATTCGGCCAATCGATTTCGTTAGAAACTCGAGAAAAATCGATTACGACGTAAAAATCCAAATTTTATCGAAATGGAGACCAATTACGTAATTCGAGCTAGTATATTACGCTAGAAAATCCAGAAAAACGATTACGCCACTAAATTGAGAATTTTTATCTATTCAGAATCGTTTACGGCAAAAAATTCTCGGATTTAGCTGCCGAAATTGCTACCGTAATCGTTTAAACCCGACGGATTTGATGGATTACGGCAGGAAAATAATGTAATTATTGGAGAATTTAATGGCATAATCGATTAAACCTCTCTGTTTTAGCTCTCGTAATCGCTTACGACATGGAAATAATCTCATTTGCCAGAATATGATAGCGTAATCGATCAAACACCCACGATTTTGCTAGACTAATCGATTACGGCATGGAAAAGGCCGTGTTTTGGCCAGCGTAATCGATTAAACCTCTCCGATTTCGCTAATAATCGAATACGACATAAAATCCTCACGCTTTGCTCAGAATTTCATGGCCGAATCGGCAAAACCGCCCCCGTTTTCCTACCGTAACCGTTTCCGGGGCACCGTAACCCTGTAAAGGGAGCGTGCCACGAGCGGGAAATTCGGGGAAACAACAAAAATACCGTAATTCTCTCCGGGGGAAATCGAGAAAAACGAGAAAAGAGACTAGTATTTCGAGGGGTGTTTGAAAGGGTGTCTTTTGGAGGGTACTGTATTTGGGGGGTACGGTAAAAATCTCTGGGTTTCTATCAAAAAAACACACAGGGCAAATGAGCAGGGGAAATTGCGGAAAAATGTCAACGAAGAGCCGCCGAGTATTTACAGGCAATTTTTATCACAAAAAATGATCCGGGGAGAGCGCGAAAAACGAGGCGAAGAGATTCGTTAAAGGAACCGGGAAGGTGGACGTTCGGCTACAAAGTACACCTATTTCCGCTTCTTCGCCGCCGCGGCAGCGCCAATCGAAGAGCCCTTCCGCTTCTCCACCTTGCTCTCCGAGCGCTTTTTCTGAAAAAAGGAGCATTAAATTGGCAAAAAATCGACGTTAATTCCATGGCGTAATCAGATAGATTTAAATTGCGTAATTGGTTCTGTAGACCCGGAATTTGATGCAGTAATCGATCAAACATAGCCCAAAAATGTGGAAGCTCAGAAAAAGCCCAAGAAATCGATTACACCATCAAATAAATGACGCGACAGGTATCGAATTTCATGACGTAATCGATTACGCCATGAAAATCGCACCCCGAATCGATTACGCCAGGAAAATCCCAATTCCAAGAAGCCGAATTTCATGCCGTAATCGACGAGACGCTCAGGTTATTCCCCAAATCGATCCCACCACAAAATTACGTGGTTCTCTGGGCGCTAATTCCATGGCGTCATCAATTATGCACCAAAAAATAGCCAAAATCGGGTTTTTAAACTGGTAACGCCACGAAATTCCGAACGCCTATATAAAATTCATCAAAACTTAATTTAAAGTAATTAAAAACAGCTTACCGTGCACTTATCACAGAACCACTGTTGTTCGGCCGGGGGTTCGACGGTAATGCCGACACATGCCCAATGATACCAATCATCACACGTATCACAGCCAACCATATTTGCACCATCTGCATACGCCACAGAACACACCGGGCAGATCCAAACTTGCTGAAAAATCATCCATTAATGAAATACCAAATTTATTATCTATTAAATATTAAATTAAATTAATAAAATTAAATTAAAATAAATTAAATATTAATATGAAAATAGTAATTTAATAATCGAACTTCGAATTTCGAAGGCTTAATAAAATATATTTCAAACGGGCGTCAATAGTCGAAAAACGTACCGGATCGTCGCCATTGGCCTTTCCCTTCACCGGCGCCTCATCCTCATCTTCAGTGAGGTCGACGCTCGCCCGGGATTTTACCTCCTTCTTCTTGGCGGGCTGCTTCTACAAAGGAAATGATAGAGTTCTGGTTTCGAAAATGCCGCCCCAACGGCTTGAACTTGTCGGGTGACCTTGATTGTATTATTTAGGGTTTTTTAATCGCCGTCTGAACGGCTCGAACTCGTCGGGATCACGAAAATTATATAATTTTGTATTCTAAAATCCAGCCTGAACGGCTTGAACTCGCTGGTATCACGAAAATGACATTATTTTGTATTCTAAAATCCAGCCTGAACGGCTTGAACTCGTCGGGTATCGCCAAAATATCACCAATATTATTTTGTGAATCCGAAAATGCCGCCCGAACGGCTTGAACTCGTCTGAATCACGAAAATAATTTTATTTTGTATTCTAAAATCCAGCCTGAACGGCTTGAACTTGTCGGGCATCACGAAAATTATATTTTTAGCCATTTCCCCCCCCCCCCATTTCGGTCTCAGCTAAAGGGGCGAGAAAGTGAGAGAATCAACCCCCTCTTTCGGCTACGACAGCTACGAATTACGCCAAACGACGATTCAAATCACGGATTTTTGATGTTTTTAGCCATTAAAATGTCAAATTTGCTCCAAAATGCATTTGTCGAGACCTAGGCGAAGTCAGGGGTCAATGCAACGCTTCCTGATACCTTTAAAACCTCAAAAAAGCTTACCTTCGTCGGCTCGGCCTTCTTTTTGGCCTCAACGTGTGGTTGTGCTGTAGAGGGCGAGGGTTTTGGCGGGGTTTCCTTCTTGACTGAAGCAGTAGAAGCTTTTGCGGGTGTGGACGTGGTGGCGGTGTTGATCTTCTCCTTTTCCCGCGACTTCAACACGATCGGGGGCACTGCAAATGGAACCAAATAATACAATAAAAATAGCAAAAAAAATTTCGCAAAATAGAAGATTTCTAGTTTTTTTGTCAAAATCTCAAAAAATGCCTGCTAATCTATCCGCGAAATTACCAAAAAATAGCTTCCAGTTTCCCGAAACTCCTCAAGTATCTCGGCTAGATTGCCCTAAATCCAAGGCAAAAAAAATTAATTTTCCAAAATAAATTAATTAATTGTGAATTAAAAAATTCAAAAAAAGGTCAATTAAATTCCTCAAGAATCTTTGCAAGATTGCCCGTCAAATTCCCAAATAATCGCTGCCAGCCTGCCCTGTCACGCTGCCTTTAAAATGCCAGTATACCTGGGCTATTCCTCGCCGCAACCGGGGGTACAGGCGTAGATGTGCTGCTTCGTGGATTATTCGGCGTGGTCGGCCTGACGATTCGCGTATCAACGGTGAATAGTGGTGGAAGGGCTGGAAGGGCTTTCAACTCGCCTTTTGTCTTCACCCGGGGACGGTCGACGCTCTGAAAGAGAAACGGTTACACCTTAAATTATCTACAAAAAACCCCTTAAATTAATTTAAACATTTTTGAATCGATTACACAATGAATTTTGTCATTTCCAGCCAATTCCGGTCCGAAAATAGTGGTTTCTACTTGATTTTTGGGCTTAAATTCACGTTTTCCAATAGCTTACGCTATGATAATCGCATTTGCGAATCAATTAGGCTATCAAAATCCGCGGTTTTAAAAGAATTCGCGTTTTGTAATAGATTACGCTATAAAAAAGTGTTTATGAATGCGTGACTTTACAAAAATCCTAATTTCGAAGAAATTAAGCCATGAAAATCTCCTTTTTGAATCGATTACGCGCTGAAATGCGTGATTTCAAACCAAATACGCCAGAAAATCCACGATTCTGCGTGCGTTACGCAATCAAATTGAGATTTTTCAATCGGTTACGCGACGAAATTCGCAATCTTGAATTGGTTGCGACACGTAATACACATTTTTTTCCTCAAACGATTACGCCACAAAGTCACTGGTTTTTAACTAATTACGCAATGAAAAACGTGATTTTCAATCAATTACGCCATGAACTCGTATTTCTGAATGGAATACGCTGCAAAATTTACGTTTTTAAATCGATTACGACATGAAATTCGCGTTTTTTGGCCAATTATGCTATGAAAAACACGATTTTTGATGGCTTGCGCCATTAAATTCCTGTCGTCAAGCTTCCAAAAAACCCTGAAAAACGTACCCGATCAATATGCTTGGGCTGGACGACGCCCATTCCGGAAGAGGGCCTCGAAGTGGAGGACGACTCGGCAGCAGCTGTTGTGGATACGGTAGATGTGGAGGGGACAGGACTGGAATACGGTAGATTATTGGGGGATACGGTAGAATGGGGTAGGGGAGGGGATACGGTATCGTCTAGTACGAGACGATAGAATAGACGACGATCAACACCATCCAAGAAGAATACGGCCACGATCAGGAGAGGGGAGAGACTGCAAAGGACATTAGGGAATTGAAGAGCAAAGAGAGAGAGCGAGCGAGAGAGAGAGAGAGAGAGAAGAGAGAAGAGAGAGAGAGAGAGAGAGAGAGAGAGAGAAGAAGAGAGAGAGAGAGAGAGAGAGAGAGAGAGAGAGAGAGAGAGAGAGAGGAGAGAGAGAGAGCGGTCAACTAGCAGAGCTTTTTTAGGAATTCCCCAAAATCCACCAAAAATCAAGGATTTCCCAGCCGCGCCGGGCAAACTAGCAGAGTTTATTTGGGAGGCCAAGGACAAGGCATGCTAGCGGAGAATCTTGAGGAAAGCATAGATTTTCTCGAATCCCCGGGCAATCGTCAAAATCTGGGCAGGCTAGCAGAGATCTTTTGAGGAATTGAGCTTAAATTTCCCAAAAAAAAGAAATAACTTACCGAGAATCAGCGGCAGCTTAGCAGAGTTTCCTGGGGAAACCTAGGCGCGGGCCAGCTAGCAGGGCTTCAGGAAAATAGGGCGTCGGGGAGCCCGAAAAAATGTCGAATTTCGGGTGAGCAAGCAGAGATTCTTGTGGGAATTGGCGTAGCTCACAGGGGCAGGCTAGCAGAGATTCCTTGGCAAGCCCGGGAGGCGGGTAGGCTAGCAGAGACTCTGGCGGAAATTGCCCAATTTCGACCGGGCTAGCAGATATTTTGTGGAAAATCGGGATTTTCCAAAAATCGTCAAACTGGATGGCCAGCTAGCAGAGATTCTTCGAGATCCAACAGACAGACAGAGAGAGAGAGAGAGAGAGAGAAACTAGGAAAAAACAAGCATTTTTGCCACTAACAATTTTCCAAAAATATCTAAACAGCTGAATCCAGGAAAATCCATCCAAAAAAGCGGCAGATCCCGTGCTATCTTAGGGGGATCAGGGTGCGTGCGTGTATCTTTCTTCTTCCTTTTCTGTATTACTTGGCCCGTCGCGCATATCAGCGGGAGTACAGCAGAGAAAGGCGAGAGAGAGAGAGAGAGAGAGAGAGAGCGATGGATATCGATGGATAGATGGTGATAGATATCAATATATGATAGCACTGTCCCCCTTCCACCCCGTCCCATTGCAATCACTAACATCTGTGGACACACAGGTGTAACCACCAAGGCCTTGGATCGGCCGAGGGGCAGGCTAGCAGGGATTCTTGGGGAATTGGAGAAGAAATGGCAAGCCAGCAGAGCTTCTTTAGGAAGTGGGGCAGGCTAGCGGAAATCGTTCAGAAAAAAAAGCCGGCAGGCTGGCAGCGTTCCTTTGGGAAATTGGCAAAACTAGCAAAAATTCTTTTGGGAAAGGGGCATATAGCAGAGATTTTTGGGGGAATTCAGGAGAGCCTGGCAGGCTGGCAAGGATTATTGGGGGAATTTTACAGTCCGGCAGACTAGCAGCGGCTCTTTGCGGAATCTGGGGAAACCTGAAAGGTTAGCAGTGAAATTGGAGGACACTTGCGGAAATTCTTGGGGAAGTGCGGGCAGGCTAGCAGAGACCATCTAGAAAATAGGGAGTAAGGACTCGGGGTAAACTAGCCGAGATTTTTGGAGGAATTTGACAAAAGGCGGAGATCATTTAGGAACTGAAAAAACACATGGCAGGCTAGCCGAGATTTTTAGGGGTCCCGAAAAATGCCTGGGCAAGCTAGCAGGGGTCATTGAGGAATTTCTCCTGGCTGAATGAAACGTTCGGGAACCGGCCAATGTGCCAGCCAACGGGCAAGAAGATGAGAATTAAATGGAAGAACGGGGTTGGGGCATCTCCCGGGCAACAGCCTCTACAGAGTCGTTGATCCCCCTCCTCCCATTCCCTGGTTGCGCCTGTTTTGTGGGATTTCACAATCCACACCCTGGACGTCGGATTAGGCCTGATGCCAAGATTCCATCATGGCAGTTGCCACTGACGAGTGACGAATTTAGAGCGATCCAGGGCGGGCCGGCAGAGATGATTTGGGAGGAAACTCGAGCGATGGCCAACGGACCGGGCCATCAGAGGTGGAATGAGGGAAATTTTTAGAAGTCAAAATATTATACAAGCTAACAGAGACGCTTCCGGATGATTAAAAATTTGTCCTGGTTAATTCTCGAATGCCGAGAAGTGTCTCCAGTCAAAAAAGAAACCCTTCGTTGCATGCCATATTTTGGCAAAGAGGGGGATCGGAGAAATTGGGAAAAGCCGCGATAATATATGCCTATGTAAATTCCATACGCATCTGGACGAGGGCCAAGCGGGCCGACAGGGTGGCGTCTGGAATTAATAGGCGGCGCCTTTAATTCTGTTGTATATTCGGCACCGGATTGCCCGCACAACGGCTTGTCAAGAATTAATCCGGTGCATACCAAGCTCGGGAAAAGCGCTAAAAATAATCCCAAACCCGGCGCGGAATTCTAGAATTCGATGGAGAGAGCAACAACGATCAAAATCTACGATTCTGACCAATTACGCCATTAAATTCGAAGATTTCAACAGAGAAAGTCAACCCAAGTTTTGATGCCATTTCAAAAGCACTAAAAATTCTAGAATGTCGTGGTTTCAGGGGAGAAAATTGGGGGGAATAATTATGGGCCGGCTGGGCGGTTCGGGAATTCAGCTGCTCCTCAATGTCTCGTGTAGGGGATGGATACAGGCAATGACACCGTATCCCATGGCAACCATTTAGAGGGCGAATGTCTAGAAATAGAGAGAGAGAGAGAGAGAGAGAGAGAGAGAGAGAGAGAGAGAGAGAGAGACAGGACCGCTAATCGGCGAGCGAATAGAGGGCGAAAAGCCGCGAATTACACCCAACTCGTAATTATCTAAATGTCCCTGGAGGGGCGAAAGCGAGAGAGAGAGAGAGAGAGAGAGAGAGTGAGAGACAGAGAGAGAGAGAGAGCTACCGTATCCCTAGGCGCCAAAAGTCAGGGCTAATCACCGAGGCCAGGAGGCCAAATTCCAGGCTTTCGTACTAGTGGGGAATTATTATAGGAAGAGAAAGAAAGAGAGAGAGTGCGAGAGAGAGATACGCAGAGAGCGTACCAGACGTACCGTATCCCAAAAAAATCCAGAAAATTAATTGATACCTCTCCTGGGCGATGGGCTTGATGCGGATCTTCAGCGGCTCCTGGCCGGGCGTTCCAGCACCCTGAAAAAAGTTTAAATTAAAAATATTAAGCAAAATTAAAAAAGGCTAAATTTAAATTACTACACAAAATTGAAAATAATAAATTTCAAAGCCCACAAAAATTTTTAAAGGGACCGGCAAGGCATTGCTATGGATTCGGCATAGTTTTCCGCGACGCTACGCGGCCGCCTTGAAGATGGCGTAATCGACTAAGACATCTTCAAGGAGGTCAAGCGCGGCCTGCGCGTTGCTTGTAATCGATTTGGCAAAATTCATAGAGCCTTGCCGGGCCCTTTAAAACGCAAAATGCCGTACCCTTGCCGGTGTCGTTGACGGATCCGACGACGTTGAGGGGCTGAGGAGCTTGATCTTTATCGGGGGCAGCTTGTCGATGCTCTTCACGTGGCCGTTCTCCTTGTCTCGGCGCTCCTTCTTCGACTCTTTCACTGCCTGGAAAGAAAAAATAAAGAAGCAAAACGACAAAAATTAAAAGTACAACATTTTTTGGTTCTTTTCTATTATCGGGGGGAGGGCAGCTTGTTTCTAAGCATCAGATTTTCAAATATAAATAGAGCAATTGCTTTTAAACTGGTTTTTTTTTGTTCCTAACTAGGGAATGTTTTCGGGCGGACATCGGACCCAGATATATGAGTATGTGCATCTTGTAGAGCTCGACGAGACGAATCGATTGATGTAACTTTTAGCTGCTGATACCTTATTTTAACAAAGTTACAACGGTTTAAAGTTTTTGGCCATACCTTCATAGGCTCTTCCCACACCCTGATCACCATATCCCGGTGGCCTAGTGGCTTAGTAGTCGGCGTCTGAAGATGGTAACGGGGGTACGGATCCGTTCACGATTTTTATTTTTTGCTTTTTGGTCGAGAGCTTCCTTTTTGCACCCCGATGGCCTACAAACACTTATTTCAAAGTTTTTTTTTATTTCCAGGACTTACACCAAATTTGGTGACAGTATTCATTGGATTTTTGTTCTTGCAAGTACAACCAATGTTGATGACTTCAGCTCGAAAAATTCTCTGTGTTCCCCTTATGCTTATTGATTGGGAATATGGTTGCGAAACCGTCCGGCAGGTAAAAAACTTTGAAATAAGTGTTTGTAGGCCATCGGGGTGCAAAAAGGAAGCTCTCGACCAAAAAGCAAAAAATAAAAATCGTGAACGGATCCGTACCCCCGTTACCATCTTCAGACGCCGACTACTAAGCCACTAGGCCACCGGGATATGGTGATCAGGGTGTGGGAAGAGCCTATGAAGGTATGGCCAAAAACTTTAAACCGTTGTAACTTTGTTAAAATAAGGTATCAGCAGCTAAAAGTTACATCAATCGATTCGTCTCGTCGAGCTCTACAAGATGCACATACTCATATATCTGGGTCCGATGTCCGCCCGAAAACATTCCCTAGTAAGCGTAAAACTATACCAATTTTGATTAAAAAAAAAATTAGCGATTTTTCGACCAAAATTTCATCTAAAATATTTTTCCTAGGCTTTTTTTCGTTTTATTCCACTTGAAAAATAGCTAAAATTACTAAAAACACTATTAAAATACTTATAATTACATTACTAGACCCTTCTGGGCTTGTAGAATTGTCCAGAATTTCAAACTCTATCGACTGAGCTCGAGCTCCCATTTCCAAAAACTCCAAAGCGCGCCTAAAGACAAAATTCAGTCGCTCCCCCCCCCCGATAATGCCAAAGAACCAATTTTTATACCTGCCGATCCCTGGATCGATCCCTGTGCTTCTCTCGGTCTCTGTCCCTCTCTCGATCCCTCTCCCTGTCTCGATCTCGATGCTTCTCCTTGTCCTTTTTCTTCTTCTTTTTCCGCTCTCTGTCTCTATCCCTGTCTCGGCTTCTGTCCCTCTCTCTATCTCTGTCTCTCTCCTTCTTCCCTCTCTCTCCCTCTGTCTCTCGATCTCTCCTCGGTTCCATCAGAATCTTCAGCTTAGGGACAGTGCTGTCGGGAGGTCGAGCAGGGGAGTCTTTCATCGAGATGTTCAGCGGGAACGTCGTCTAAATAAATCTATTATTAAAATTTAGCGAAAATACGAATTTTTAAAATTTAGAAAAATTACCGGAATTTGTCAAAATGTAATTTTTTAAATTTAAGCAAGCGTAACACTAGCTTAAAAACTTCAAACTCTCTTTATTTTGCATTAAAGCCATCGGTTTATTATTAAACTCCGAAAAAAATATTAAAAAAAATATTATTTCTAAACATTACGAAACTAACAAACGCTGTAAAATTTAATTTTTTAACTTGAAAATCGTTGAATTTATTTAGCAAAGGCACTTGACGCATTTTTTGGAATTTAAACGGTCGAAAAAAGCAAATTACGTTTAAAAATGAAAAAACTATACGAAATTTTAGTTCAATTTTTTAATTTCTAAAAACTGAAAAGTCATAAGAAGAGCTTATTTCTAATCTTTAATTTTTAAAATCTAAGACGAACCGGCATATCGCCAATGGGTAGATCGCCGCCGTCGGTGAGCATCGGGATCGTCGCGTCCGAGTCGTACTCCTCTTTTTCTGGAACGGAAAAGTTGATTGGAAAATTGTGAGAAAACTCACTCAATGGAGGAAGATCGGCTGGCCGGGGTGGAGTGGCACGGGCTGCCGATTCGGCCACTAAAAAAAAGAAGAATTATTGATAATTTTCTAAAAATTCAGTATCACACAATTTCCCCAGGGGTCCCTGCCCAAGAACAAAAAATTTCGGCTAGTTGCCCAAGCCTTCCCGCTTCCCAAAAGGACTCTGCTAGCCTGTCCGCTTCGTCAAGCCGCCTGAATAAATTTGGCTAACCTGCCAGGCTTTCCCCAAATAGTTTCCGCTAGCTTGCCCTGGCCCCAAAGAGTATTCCACAATTTTCTCTGCTAGCCTACGCAGCTTGGCATTCCTCAAGCAATCTCTGCTAGCCTGCCTTGCCCCGGAATTCCTGAATAATCTCTGCTCGTTTGCCAGGGCTCAGTAATCCAAAATGTTCTCCGCAAGCCTGCCCACTTCTGTCCGTTTCTCAAATGATCTCTGCTAGCTCGCCTTCGCCATTGTCAGGCTCCCAAATAATCTCTGCAAGACCTTCTATTTGCGTAAATTCTCTCTGCTAGCCTGCCTTAGTCCTAAAAAATCGCTAAAAACATACCCGGAAACGACGTGGACGGGCTGCATCCCAGCCGAATCTTCAGTTTCGGCACAGAAGCGGGTGATACAGCCGGATGAAGGGGTGATGGGATGGTGTCTCTTTCTCTCTCTCTTTCTCTCGTCCCTCCTCTTTTCTCTTCCCTCTCCTGTCGTCTCAATTCAGCTACCGTAGTCGCCGGCTCGAGTTTCGGCGGTTCTTCGCGTATCTCACGATTTGTCGAGGAGCTGCTGCCCGGCCGCTGGTGGTGTGTCCAACTGCAAAAATTAAATTTTTTAACTTCGAAAAATCATATTTTTAATTTTTAAAGCCTGGATTTAGGCAACGCCGATTTTTCGGCAATTTTCTAAGTAAAAAACCAGTGGAAAACGCCGAAAATGAATTTTAAAGGCACCGGAAGCCAGGAATTAGGCCACGCCCCTTTTATCAGCTCTGAAAAAATCAAAAATGTATTAAAATCTCTAAAATGGATTTTAAAGGCGCGCGGAAGTCAGAAATAGGCCACGCCCCTTTTATGAGCTCTGACAAAAATCAAAAATGTATTAAAATCGCTAAAATGGATTTTAAAGACACCCGGAAGCTAGGAATTAGGCCACGCCCATTTTAGAAGTTTTGAAAAACCCAAAACGCTCGTTAAATTATAAAAATCGCATTTCCGCACGGGATTTTCGGTCAGAAAAGGGCTGATTTTATCGATTACGCCATGAAACGCAGCGCTTCCTGGTCCCTTAAAAAATAATAAAAAACTATGCCAACCTTTTGTCCTTTTTCGTCTTGTCCTTCTTCTCCTTTTTGGGCTTTGGCTGAGAGACGGGGAGGACCGGCGGGGGCTCGTCACATGGCCTAAAAAAATCGGGTTAACTAATCGCTGAAATATCGATAATTCTATCAATTTTTGAATTAATACTTTAATGAGCATTTTTTAAGAATAACTTTTTAACAATTTAGAGCTTTTTGCTGTATAAATTTAATGAATTAACGGTATTTTGCAACCCACTCCTCGTAGCGATACGGCGGCGTCGGCGCGTTCCGATCCGGGAAATACGTGTTCCTGAAATTATTTTGGTTTTATTGATTTTTACGTGTTTTTTAAACCAATTTTTCGTCGTTCTATTTTAAATCGCCGGCGTTTTATAGCTTTTTAGCGTTTTAAAATCCAAAAAAACCCGGCGAAGCAACCGATTACGCCAGATAATTCGTTCAAAAACAGCCTGACGGACGATCTAATTTTAAATATACTTTATTCTTTTTTATTTAAATATTTTTCACTTACCGTAGCCCAAAATTTATATATTTTTGACTTTGATTTTATATATTAAAAAATAGAGTTTTCACGAAGTCCTTCGCTTTTGCGAATTTCCACATTTACGCTAATTCTTAATTTTTTTTCTATCCTAAAAGGTCCAGAAATTCCCGAAAACGTACAGCAACTGCGGGACGATCTCCTCGGGCAGAAGGGCGGGCATTTGATGGATCTCCTTCAGCAGATTGCTCGCATTCGGGATGAGGGCGGCCAGGGCAGCGGCTGCAGCAGCTGTAGATGATGAAGCCGCAGTCCCATTGCTGTTGTTGATGATATTTGGTGGGTGTTGTTGGGAGACGAGTGGGCTGACCGGTCGCTTCTTCTCCAACTTCTTCAGCCGGTTCACCGACAGCTTCGGGGGGCCGTTCTGAAAATGGGGAAATTTATAGGGAAAATTACATTTTGAAGCGCTAAAAAATTGCCAAAATTCCCCAAAAAAAACTGCTAGCTTGACTTTTAAGAAACCTTCAAATTCCTCAAGAATCTCTGCTAGATGGCCGAATTTAAGAAACAAAATAGATATATGTGCAGATAAATTTTATCAAATCTTTCCCTAGGGATCTCTGCTAGTTTGCCTGACCCCCAAAATCCCTGCTGGGCCGCCCAGCGCAATCCCTACCTTCCCTAAAAATCTCTGCTAGTTCGTGAAGCGAGAAATAGGCTTGTAATGCCGCAAAAAACACAGGCTATTTTTCCGCAATTTTTGCCAGCCGCTTTAAAAAATTGGCTCAAATTTCGCCAGGAGAAGCTGCAAAATTGCCATTTTCCAAAATTTCCTCGGCTAGGTCGACAGGCCATGAGAATAAACACAAAAAATTCGTATTTCCTAAATTTCCTCTGCTACCTTGCCTAGTCCCAAAAAAGATCAAAATCTCTACCTCCATCTCCTTGAGGTTGGGGCTGCTGTCGTACTTCTTGCCGCCCATCCCCGACGTTGACGGGGCCGGCGAGCTGGGTGAGTGTGGAGGGACCGGACTCGAACGGGCCGATTTCACGCCCGAAGTGTGGTTGTTCTAAAAAACGTATTTTGTAGGCTTTTTTTAGAAAATCTGGCTTTTTGAGGACCTCAAAAATCTCAAAAAAACGTACAATGAGATCGCGGGCCTTGCCCTTCTTCGGCGTGCTGCTGCTCGGTATCGGGCTCTGCCGCCGTCGGATGGCTTTGTCTGGAAAAAGGTTTTTTTAGCGATTTTGAGAGCTAGAAAAAAATAGGGAAGAGGAAAAGCTGGAGAGAGTACAAAAAAATGCCCAAAAAATCGGATTTATTTCGTTTCGGACCGAATTTTGAGCCGAGCAGGCTAGCAGGGATTCCTTTGGATAAAGAAACCCCCAAAATTGATTCGGCTTTTTAGAAACTCGAGAAGCTGTAAAAAAACCCTAAATAGTTCCAAAAAATTTATCGCTTTGTTATGGTCCGGTTTCAAGCGAAATTAGCATAATTCACCTCAGGGCAGGCTAGCACGGAATCTTTAGGATGCCGAAAAACACGCCGGGAGTCGACTTTTTCGAATTCCCCACCATGCAAAAAACCCTAATTTAGGCCCCCCACAAAATTGCCGGTTATTTCTAGCGGACCGTTTTGAAGCGAAATTTGCGTAATTTGGACGAGGCAGGCTAGCAGGGATTCTTTAGGATCTGGAAAAACACCCAGAAAACCGATTGGCAGCTTCGAAACCAACAAAAATGTTTTTAATTCAAGCTAAATAGCCTAATTTCCAACCAGGCAGGCTAGCCGAGATTCCTGGGGATCGAGAAAATGCCCGGCAAGACATTGGCCACCCGGAATCCAAAAATTCGCGAGAAACCCACCAAATCTCGACACGACATTCGTCTGGCTCTTCGACGCGACGCCGAGCGAAACTGTGTCGCATGTGGAGAAGTCCCAGAGATCGTCGTGGCCCTCCTTTTTCTCGGCCACAGATTGTGAGGAGGGCTGAGGCTTGGCGGGGCTGGGTGTGGCGAGGGGTGGTGGCGGGAGAACGGACGGCAACGGCGTGCTGGTCGATGGGCGATTCACGTCTGAAAATTGAGCGGTAGAAATTTAGTAAAACTAACTTTAAAAAATCAAAAACTGAAGCCAAAAATTCTGAAAGGCCCGGCAAAATTCAAATCACCAATTGAGCGTTAGAAACTGGTCCAAAAGGCCCGAAAAAGCGAAAATTCGGGGAAAAACCAATTTTCTAAAGGTTTTCAGGCATTTTTGAGGCAAATCTGGCTTTTAAAGGGCCAAGCAGATCAAAAAAAATCTAGGAATTTGTCAGAAAAGGTACCAAAAAGTCTGAAAGACTCCGGAAAAAAATTAAAAATCCCGATTGAGCGTTAGAAACTGGTCTAAAAGGCCCGAAAAAGCCCAAAATTCGGGGAAAAACCAAATTTCTAAAAATTTTCAGGCAGTTTTGAGGCAAATCTGGGTTTTAAAGGGCCAAGCAATGCATTTTTATCGATTTTTGGCTATGGATTGCGCAGATATTTTTGTCGGGCGGCGACACGCAACGCGCTTGGGCGTAATCGATTACGCAATGGAAAACGGTGCACGCGTCACGCTTCGCGAAGTGGAAAAATCTTGGGAAAAACGTGCACGAGCCGCCTTTTCATGGCGTAATCGATTACGACACTTTTCCGGGCCCTTTAAACGGCCAAATACGCTAAAATAGCCTACCATTAGCATTCGTGTCATGATGAAGCGAGGGTAAACACGGCAAAATCGGGCCCTGGTCGGCCCTCCTCTGCTCGATCTCCTTCTCCGAGGGGCACGTCATCGAGATCGAGCAGTGCTGGGGTAGGTAGGTCGGCAGCTTGGGCATTGGCTGAAATTATAAGGATAAAAAGGGCCAACCCTTAAACCTTAAAACCAATAATAAACCAAAAATTTCATATTCGCGAGCCGATAAACCTATTTATTTTGCCGTAAGCATCCAAATTGGGCTAGTAATCTAGGAAAAATTATTTTTATAATTCTGCAATTCAATTTAAACCATTTCAAGTAGAAAAACTTTCAAAATTCTCGAAACTATTTGCAAAAAAGGCCTTTTTGGTGATTTTAGGCCGAAAAAAAGTGATTTTTCGAACTAAAAACGCTGTGTTTGATTCAATTTTATAAAATTTGTATACGCAGCAACATCACAAAACGAATGAACCGGAATTTCGACGAAAAACGTACCCGCTGCTCGAAGCTGACGGGGATGGTGGCGCCGCGCTGCGTTGAGAGATCGACGCGAACCTGGAAAAAGCGTTGTAAAATCTAAATTAAACTAGAACGAGTGAGAGAGAGAGAGATAGAGAGAGAGAGCGAGAGAAAGAGAGAGAGAGAGAGAGAGATAGAGAGAGCGAGAGAGAGAGTGAAATTACCTTCGTCATATACTCGTGCAAATCGGTCCCATGAATGTTCAGCCGGCCCATCGCGCACTGCACGTCCTCCGGATCACAAAGCGTACGGCCTCCTAAAAAAACCTATTTTTCAAAATATAATTCTCATTGTTACCATGCTCCATGAACAGCTTCGACTCGACGCACAGCCGCTCGATGTACCTCCGCGACAGGTCGGCCAACGCGTTCAGCGAGTCCCGGGAAACCGTCTGAAAATCGGAAATACCTCTTTTTGCATCGAAATTGCGATTTTTAAGATATCTAAAGCTAATTTCAACGTTTTTGTAGGCGACTAAAACTCTAAAAATCGACTAAAAATCACGAAAAAGGCCTAAAAGTATTTCCGCTTGGTAAAAATATGTAAAAAGAATTAATTTCAAGTTTTTATAGTTTCTAAGCTATTTCTATCGTAAAAACGGTCAGAAAAGTAAAAAAAATCCGTCAGTTTTTAGACAAACCTAACGCAATGTTCTAAATTATCCAAATTAACTCAGAAAACCATAAATTTGGCGATTTTTCACCCAAAACCCACCGTAAAATTGAAGATATCGAGCACACGGGCCGTACTCCTCGCCATCATCTGCATCGCATAGGCCTCGGTGGATGACATTTGGGACGTGTAGGCGGCCTGGAAACAGCGTTTTGTTACGAGCTTCTTTTGAGATATAACGACTGATAACGGCCGTTTTTATGCGCTTTTTTTTGGAATTTTTCAATCTGAGAGATGTTGCTCGTTCGTTAGAGCTTAAAATTCTGGATAGTCAAGTAGAAAAACGCTTAGGAAAAAATGTGTTGTGTTGAAAAAATTTTTGTGTTTTTTTTATCAAATTTTGCAAAGTTCTTACGCTTAGGAAAAGTAAAAAACATTTTATAAACACCAATTCTATTTCTATCAGAAACGCTCGATCCTTATAAAAAGTTTTGGTTTCGTGAAAGAGCTTTTTGAAGCTTTGAGCTCTCAAATGAGCTACATTTCTTACATCGTAAAACCCGAAAAGCACCTAAAAAACCCTGTTTTGGTCAGATCAGAAGCATACCTGTTGTCCGATAGCTGTCATTGTCGATGACATTGAGTGGGCTGTCGATGGGTGTTGAAGCGGAAGTGGATTGTTGATGGCCGAAGAAGCAGAGGGCCCAGGAGGAGGGCATTGGCCCTGTGATGCTGATGATGACTGTGAAGATAGGGCTGTTGATGGGACCATCATGCCAGATGTCGAGGCGGCCATCCCCGCACTACAAAACACATCAAGGCCCGGGCCAAACGGAGCTGCGGCTCGCAGGGTGCCTGCAAAATTAGTGATCATTATTTTAGTCATTTTGAAATACCAGAGAACTATAGAAATGTAAAAAAAACAGCTCTAAATGGTTTTATAGCCTCCGGGGAGCTCGGAAAAGCTTGAAATGCCCATTTTTAAGCGTTTTTGAAACTCTGTTGTTCGAAAATCTCCTAGAAACTCGAGGAAAGCATAAAACATGCTATAAACGGTTTAAACGTCTCAAAAACCTCATCACGACCTTTAGAAAACTAAAATCCTAGAAAAACGATGCTGAAAGAACGCCAGGGCCATTGATGAACCATCTAAAACGCGGTCAGCCGAATCCATGCTCAAAAAACGGCTTAAAACTGCAGAAAAAAGTATCTAAAGCCTAAACCAACCCGGAAAAACGAATGTGAGAAATGTGCGAAATGAAAAATGTGAGAACGTGAAAAACTACTTCAGAAAAATCCCCCTAGCAACGCAGTCGAAGCATCAAAATAGGAAAAAACCGCTTTAGAAAAAAGTCAAGAAACTCGTATTTTTTTGCGAAAAATAGAAAAAACACGGTTCATCCCTTTAAAATCGAATTGTAAAACACTAGGCAAAAAGCCCTTATTTTTCTCAATTTCAGCGGGACGAGTTTGCGTCTAAAAGTGACCGATTTCGCTATGAAAAGAGATGGGTATCATATCGATTGTGCCGCTTATTAATGCGAGAAAACGACGAAAAACGAGAGAGGGAACAGATTAGCAAGAAAAGCGTTTTAGAACTTTCGAAACGGGTTGCAAAAGTTGCTGAATCGAGCATGACTCTGCAGAAATCAAGGGGTGCTAAATTTTCGTTGTGGCTAGCCAAGCGAGTTTTTCTAAAATGACATAAAAACTTCTGAGGCATCAAAATGAGCCTGAAAATCAAGAAAACATCGCCAAGTCGATTGGCCGCTATAAATTAGCGCTTATTGTAGTACTTTTCAAGCTTCCAGACCCCTAAAAACCCCAAAAACCTGCCAAAAATCCGACAGAATAAGTTATCGCCCGACAATTGGGTCACGGCCATAAAAACTAGGGCAATCGTGGGGGGCCTGGAATCGAGGTGAAGCTCAAAAAGCGCAAGTTCATTCGAGTTGTCGCTCAAAATCCATCCCTTCAGCTTTTCCTAAATTTTTAGGGGCCCAATTCCGGGGTCCTCATTGCGGCCTGGCCCGGGGCGTCCAAATCGGCAAACAGGGCCACCGGGGGCTACACGACACGCCTAACGACACGCGAATCGTGTGCCCGCTTTGCGATCGGGGAGCTGCCGGGCTGGGCCCTCTCAATTTGCGGTGTTCTCTCGCCCGACTCTCGCCTCGCCACCCGTTCCGTTGGCCGAGAATTGGGACAGCCGAGGAGAGCCACTACCACCACAGCCACACACTCCCTCACACACACAACCAAAGCCCCCCTTCTCCTACCACCCCGGGAAAACAGGTCTCCACCCCTAGCAGCAGGGGGACGAACAGTCTCGATACAACGGCCAAGCCACGCCTCCCGGTGGGAGAACAGTCTCCAACAACACGGTGCTTATCAACGCTTTTTGGCGCGTTCGGCTGCAGCGATTTTGGGCTTGTTTTTGTAGTATTTTTCTAGCAGACTACTAAACCCGAAATTCCCTAAAATACGAGAAAATCGCCCGAAAATTTCGGTCCAAAATTTTTTAAAACTCCTCTGCCAGCCCGTGCAACTCGATAGCGCCGTACTGAAGGTGTTTTTTAGTTTTTCTTTCCCGGTCAATTTCGGCTCTAAACTCTTTCAGAAGTCTTTGATTAGAAAGAGCTACTCAAAAACTTCAATAACCACGTGTTTTTCAAGGCTTTTTGATGCAATTTCAATGTAATTAGCCTAGCAAATCTTTGAAAAAAGGTGTATAAATTCGCCAGAAACCCATTTTTTGCTATTCTACCTTCTCGCTGTCGATTGGCTTTAATTTGAAGCTCTAAAAGGCTACTTTTTCGAGAGCTCCGACTGTTTGGACAAAAAAAATCGCTGAATTGCGGTGTTTTTGAACCGAAAAACTCTGGAAAATCCATTTCCGGCGCCATTCTTCGTATTTTCTTTATGCTCTTGCCATTTTTCGTCGTAAATTAGCTTCTATTTCCTCTTTATTTTCAGTGGTCTGAATGCTGGGGCGTGCCCGGCTCCCGATTGCCACTTTCTCGAGGGCCTCCCTTTTTGCCCGTCAGATTCTGTATGTTTTCTTTTCTTTCTTTTTTTTTGTACTGATCTTATAGTCTATTAAATACTATTTTCCAGGCTCATCCCTCAACTTCAACGAGTTCGCGCGATGGCCACCGAGGTGGAGAAGGCGCAGACGGCGCAAAAGGGCGGCGACACGCTGTTTGGGAAGATCATCAGGAAGGAGATTCCCGCCAAGATCATCTACGAGGACGATGATGTCTGTTTTTTTACATAGAAACCTTCAGAATATCGAGAAATATTGGTCGGAAATTTCCAAAGTACTTTTTTTGGTTTTTAGCTTTTTTTAGGCGTGAAAATCGGTATTTTTGGTGCTTGCGTATTTTTTGTGCGCGTAAACTAGCAAAGATTCTTTAGGAAGTAGGGGCAGGCTAGCACAAATCTTTGAGGATTTTAGACCCTTTTCACGTGATTTTATCCCATTTTTCAGGTTCTCGCGTTCCACGACGTCTCCCCGCAAGCGCCGGTCCATTTCCTCGTCATCCCCAAGAAGCATATCCCGAGTCTCGAGGACGCTGAGGACAAGGTATCGATTTTGATGGATTTCAGCTTAATCTGCTTTTTTAGGATGAAGCCCTCCTCGGCAAGCTGCTCCTCACCGCTCGTCGCGTGGCCAAGGAGCTGAAGCTCGACAACGGATATCGCACGGTAATTTTTTTTAAGCTTTTTCGAATTTGTTGCATTTGATGGCGTAATCGAATCCGTGCGCGTAGTTTTTCCGCTTCACCGTCGATTCAGCCCTATTTTGATAGCGTAATCGGTTAAAAATCGTCATTTTTAGCGCTAAATTAGGGAACTGTAAAGGCAAACTAGCAGAGATTCCTGGGGAAATTCTGGCCGATTTTTCTGGAAGGTCTGGGGATCTAGCAAAGAAGCTTTGAGGAATTTTTAGACGAGCGGGCGAGCTTGCAGAAATTCTTTAGGAAGTTTCAATTCTCGACCCGGTGAAGGCTAGCAAGGATTATTTAGGAATTTGAGAGGCTGGCTGGCAGGCTAGCAGAGATTTTTGAGGAAATTCCAGACGCGGGGCACCCTTGCAGACAACATAAGGGAATTTCCGGGCACGCGGGCCATCTAGCAGAGAATTTTAGGAACTCTGAGAGGCTTTGAGTGGCGGGCAGGCTAGCAAAAATCCTTTAGGAAATTTCAGGCGCTCTCGGGACGCGGGCAGGCTAGCAGTGAACCTGTAGGATCTTTAAGGGGCCAGCAAGCCAGCAGAGAATCTTGCGGAACTGTCGCGTCACCTTTAATCCCATTATTTTCTTCTTTTTTTTCAGGTAATCAACAACGGGAAAGACGGTTGCCAGTCGGTGTTCCACATCCATCTACATGTCCTCGGCGGTCGTCAGCTGCAATGGCCACCCGGATAAGCCACGCCCCCTTTCTACAGTACCCCACCGTACTCTACCGTATCCTCTCGTACGTTTTGTTAAGTTTTTTTGGCTCTCTGGGCCTTCTCATCTGATTCCGGTATCTAATTTCGCTGGTCAAATTTCTCTCGCCGTCCGGTTTTTCCGTGTTTTTTTTTGCGTGAATAAATTGTATTTATATAGATTTATTAAAATTAATACAAAATAACGCATTTAATAGGAATATAAAAAATTTTAAAATTTTACAAGATTTGGTAAAGAATTTTTTTTGCGTCAAAAAATCAGTAGAAGATCACAGGGCGCGCGACACGTCGGGGAAGGTCGGGGAGAAAAAGGGAAAATAACACGCGGATATTTAAAAAAATATTTACAAGCTATAGACTACGAACTACAGCCTACGAAACGCTGTTTTGTACGTTTTTTTTTGGGGATACCGTACTGTAGACGGAAATCTATAGGCTACGGTAGTTCAGAGAAATTTAACGATTTTAAAGGGGCGGCGACAGGCAAAAGATTGGCATTGACAGCTGAAAATTGGCCATATTTGTACGCGGTATTCCAAATTACGAAAACCAGTTGTTTTCGGCCGTTTTTTGCGTTTTCAAGGGGCGTGGACAGTCGAAATCCACGATTCTGTACGTTACAATGCAATTGACAGAGAACTACGATGGTTTTGGGCGGGATTTAGTGCGTTAAAGGGGCAGTGACAGCTAGCCTTCGCTACCATTTGATGAGTTTAACGAGCCAATGCCTCGGATGCCGCCGGATCAGGAATTTTCGCAACTCGTTGAAGACGAGCAGGTACAAGCCGACGAACGGCGCGAACGCCCACACGAATCTGCAATTTGGTGGCGTAATCGGATGTGTAGGCGGGATTTTGATGGCGTAATCGTTGGGCAAATGATCTCCGCTAGGTTGTCCTCGCGAGAGGGAATTGATTTAAAGGGACAGTGACAGCTAGGCGTTGAAAATCGTACCCCGGTGGTGATCGGATATCCATGACGTATTGGGCGGCTGGCGTGTAGACGAACATGATCAGCATTAGCACCTGGAAATCGGGGTTTCTCAAATGATCTCCGCTAGCCTGTCCCATTTCCTCTAAGAATCTCCGCTAGCCTGCCACCCACCTCGATGATGACGGCAAAGAAGGAGACGACATTCGTGATTCCGTGACGAAAAACGGAGACTCGGCGCGTCGTACAGTTGCAACAGATGGAATACCTGGGGGGTTTCATCGATTACGGCGGGTTAGTTTGGAGTTTTTTGATGTCACTCTCCCTTTAAACGCTTTTAAAAGGAGTATGACACCTGGAATTTGACCAGAGCGTTATAATTTGATGCTAAATGGCACAATCTCTCTAAAACTACGATGCCTGGCTCATGACGAGTGTAATTTGCCAAGCGGCTGCCGCCTGTCCCTTGATATGTAGCTGTTGCTCCTCGGTGTAGGTCACGTTTTGGAAGGCGTCACCGATCGTGAGATTTGCCGCACCGATCTGGAAGGATAATTTTCGGTTGTCTCTCTCCTCTCTGTCTCTCCATCTAGCTCTCACTCTATCTATCAATCTCTCTCGCTCTCTCTCGCTCTCCACTCTCTCTCTCTCTCTCTCTCTCTCTCTCTCCTCCTCTCCCCGCTCTCCTCTCCACCCTCTGTTGCTCTCTCTGGCTTTCTCTCTCTCTCTCTCTCTCTCTCTCTCTCTCTGTTTCTGACTCTCACCTTCCAGTGGTATGCTCAGCGGTGTAGACCAATTGAGAGAGTGGAATGTTGTAGTACCTAAAGAAACTTTGGTTCCTCAAGGATCTTTGCTAGATTGCCATCTAGTAGTCCATCCGGTAAAGATTCTCTGCTCGTTACCCACCAATAGACAGCAAGAAAGGAGAAGATACACCCAGCGTGTGATTCCACATCCAGCAAATAGATACGGAATACAGGATCAACCCTTGCTCAACAATTTGGCGCTTCTGCTTTCGAGGTGGCGTCAGCATGATGTCTCTGAAAAGCGGAGTGGGAGAGAGTAGAGAGAAGAGAGAGGGAGAGAGACAAGAAGAGAGAGAGAGGCAGAGGAGTGAGATAGAATGAGTTAAAGAGATACCGTTCCGGCTGCTCGTAGGCCAACGAGATCGAAGGCGGCAATTCTGATGCCAAATCCATGGATAGAATCTGGAAAATCTCATCTTAAAGGACCGTTGAAGGTACCTGAAGTGGCGACAACCCATGGGGCAACCCGAAGAGAAATGTCAGCATGATTCGGGACCACTTCCGGCCAAAGATGGGCAAACGTGTAGGCCAGGGATAGTCTGTAAAGGCAAAGTTCTCCGCTAGCCTGCCTGCCTCCGATTCGCGCCTTTTGGCGTTTTAAAGGCCCATTGAAGGCAAATTCTGAGGATCCAATTTTTCGCAATGGTCTCGGCTAGCTGGCTTGCCCCCCGAATTTTTTCAGTTGTAAAAGACCTTTGAAGCCACTTACCGTAGATTATCAAACAACAGCCCTCCCTCCTCAATTCCCTGTACAATCGGGGCGAAATTGTCGTCAAGGAGCACGATGTCAGCCGTCTGTTTTGCCACATCACTGCCAGATAGACCGACGGCTATTCCAATGTTGGCATGAGCAAGAGCTGGAGCATCATCCACACCACCGCCCGTCACGGCTACCACCTGGAAAATGCATCTTAAAGGGGTAGAGACACCTGGTTCAGGGGTAGGCTAGCAAGAATTTCTTTGCCGAAAACGGTTCAAAAATATGGCTTTAAAGGGACGGCAGCAGCTATAAACAATGCGCTGGCTAGCAGAGATCGTTTCGAAATTCCGTCAAAGTCTCTGCTAGGTCCCCCGCTGAAACTGACCTCTCCACGATTCTGGCATTCCGTCACGATATTCAGCTTCTCGTCGGCGTTCGTTCTAGAAAGTGTAGCTTGTAGTCTGTAGTCCAAGGCAAACCCTAGCAAAGACGATGTATTTATGACGGAGCAAATGGTCCCAATCCTGTTTGGTATATGTTGACAATTGATCCCCGTCACCACCGTCCAATCACTCGATCCGTCCGCCTTCGATTTGTGGCCAGGTGCTGCAAAGGGTCTCTGTTAGTGCCTTTCTCTCTCACGCTCTCTCTCTCACTTTATCTCTCTCTCTCTCTCTCTCTATCTCTCTCTCGCGCTCTCTTTCTCTCCTATGTCTGTCTCTTTCACGCTCTATCTCTCTCTCTCGCTGTCCTCTCCCTCTCCCCTCTCTCAATCTCCCCCTCTCTCTCTCTCACGCTACCCCTCTCTCTCTCTCTCGCTCTCCCTTTCTCTCTCTCGCTCTCTCTCACTCCCTCTCTCACTCTCCTCTCTCTCACTCACTCTCCTACCGGTGTCTGTGCCTCCGCTATGAGCCCAATCTGCTGTGCAATAGCCGTGGCAGGTCGTTGGATGATCACCGGTAATCATGAACTACCTACAAAGGGTGTGGGTGAACGCGTTACGGTCGTGTCGCGCTGACGGGGCCACAAAGCAACCCACCCTGATCCAGTCTGCTTCATTGATGGATGGCGGTGGCCGTCTCGGGTCTGGAAAATTAGGGTTAGCCGATTACGACAGGAAAACAGGCCGGAAGTGGAGGGGTCATACCTTGGCGGGATCCATAATGGCAGCCATTCCGAGAAATTCGAGATCTTTTGCCAGTGATCATCTACAAGATCATCACCAGGAGGGAATCGAGTCCCCGAATCGGCGTTGAAGTGCTTCTGAAAGATAGATAGAGGAGCTATCAGAAAGAGGGGGGAGAGAGAGAGAGAGAGAGAGAGAGAGAGAGAGACTGGGAAAGCTGTGCCAAATGCGCGATCACCCTCCTTCCGGCATGCCCGAACTGCTCCCAGGCCTCCTATAAAATGCTCTTATTCATTCGAGACCAGGAAACCTCAGGCTACAGGCTACAAGTTCCTAACCTGTGCCTCATTTCCTGAAGTGTTGATCCATGGGGAGAGTCCATCTCTTCCGCGCTGCGAAGAACAGTGAGAAAGAATCAGTTCCGGGGCCCCTTTCATCATTATCACAAAACGGCATTCGCCCTAAAAACAAAAAATTGGGATAGGCAACTAGCAGAGACCGTTTGAGCGCCGGCTTGCCCCTTGATTTTCCAAAACACTGATAGTCTGCCTATTTCAGCGCAGCGCAACTGGCTGGGACTATTTCGTAACCTAATAGCACCCAGGTTCATGAA